CTGAATGTAACACATCATGGGTTTATTTAATCGCAGAGACTGACACATAACTTTGTTTTTCTTCGTGCCTTTACAATTACACAGAGTTAACCAAGGTATAAGTGAGAACAACCTTGACAGTCACTCCTAGCTTCTACCTAACACAAAGCAAATTCTTTCCTCTCTAGCTCTGCTGAGGGAAACTGGAATTTTTCTTTCTCCTGACCTAAACTACGTACTTAACAGCAGATGGGCTAGGGAAAGTGAGGTCTCAGGGACTAAACACTAGAGTCAATTTGTGTGTTCTGTTGTAACTGTGCCCTTATCCCAGACTCTTCCCCCTGCCTGTGCATTGCCTGCCCTAGTTAAGCTGTGGGCTCTTTGTTTGCTGTTAGTACTGTGTATATGCTGTACTTTCATGTCCCCTATGTGCAGGCTGATTAGAAGGATTAATGACTTCTTATTCTTTTTGAATATTGCCTGGCCAGTGGGAGTGAAATCGGCCAGGGCAATTTCAAGAGGTGGTAAGGTCGTATATGCTTACAGGCATTGCATCACAAAGTTGCATGACCCAAAATGTACTGAAAATGCCATAACTCTTCTGCTGTCCAAAAAAATTCAGGATATAGAAATAGAAATTAGAAAAAAACTATGGCTTTTAGGTAATTTTTTATCCCGCTCAGGTTCAGCCCTGAAGTGATATTTCACATTTTCCTAAAAGGATCAAACTGAGAGGTTGGAGATGGAGTAATCTTTTTGGAGATGGTCCCATGATAACTAATGATATTCAATCTGCTATTTTGGTGCTGTGAGTAGGTTATCAAAAAGGTTATCACAGATCTTTTTTTTTCTTCACACAACACCTTTGTTCAACTTTTTTTTACACAAATCTCCAAAGCCATTTGAGTTACTCCACATTTGGTTTTGCCTGATGCAAAGCAATGATAAACCATACTTCAAATAATCTGTTCATGGATATCTGTGATTAAGACTAGACTGCATTAGAATCATAGAATCATTATGGTTGGAAAAGACTTTCGAGGTCATCTGGTCTAACTGTCAACCCATTACCACCATGCCCATTTACAGAATCATTAAGGTTGGAAAAGATCTCCAAGATTATAGAATCATAGAATGGCCTGGGTTGAAAAGGACCACAATGATCATCTAGTTCCAACCCCCTGCTATGTGCAGGGTCGCCAACCACCAGACCACACTGCCCAGAGCCACATTCAGCCTGGCCTTGAATGCCTCCAGGGATGGGGCATCCACAACCTCCTTGGGCAACCTGTTCCAATGCATCACCACCCTCTGTGTGAAAAACTTCCTCCTAATATCTAATCTAAACCTCTCCTGTCTCAGTTTAAGACCATAAGATCACAAGTCCAACCCCAACCCATTCCCACTGTGCCCACTCAACCATGTCCCTCAGTTCTGCATCTCTGTGTTTCCTAAACTCCTCCAGGGATGGTGACTCTATTGCTGACCTGAGCAGCCTGTTTCACTCTTCTGAGAAGAAACTTTTCCAAATATCCAACCAGAGATTGACAGAATTACATCCTTCTGGAAAAAATAAGAAGCACCTCCCTCCCTCCCTCAAGAAACAGTATGTTTAAGAAAAATACTATAGATCATGCATGCAATAAAATTCAGATATCAGCAGCGTAAGTGAAAAGCACTTGTAATTCATCACAAAACATCACCACTCCAGGTGCTCTCTGACATGCTATTGTAATGCACAGAAGGGCTTCAAATCTCTAAATCTTGTTACTCACATCTCCTGGGCTCCATTACCCCAAGTTTACCAACATAAAATCTGGAATCATGGGAGCTGGTGACTGAATTAGCTGATGGTTTCTTCAGTGTCCTTGTCTGTAGGAGCATCTGGTGATGATTTCTGTTTGCACATGATTGAATAAGCCTGAATTAGGCTTATTGTGATTTATGTAAACACAGCACTGAGATGGTTTGCCAGTTAGTGTAGAGAAATGGCTTATCTGCTTTGCTTCAGGAAAAGAGACCCAGGGGAGGACTGGAATCTCCTTGATTCCTCCTATCTTTGAGATTTGCAACACAGGTCACAGTGATTGCATCTGCACTGGGCAAAATCCAATCTAGCATTTGCCAGGGTCATCATGGGTCTGTTGATTGGCAAAATACCAGTGCACATTTATCACACACAGCTGAGTTGGATAAGCTTTGAATTAATGAACTGGACTTGGATGCATAAGCCTCAGTTCTGCCTGGAGAAGAGCTAAGATTTAATGATGTAGCACAATGTACTTAAGGTGTACTTTTGTTTGTTTGGCTTTTTTCCCCAAAAATTTTAATTTTATCCAAGTTACTTCATTACTGGAGGTCTCAATTTGCCCATCAGTTTCACATCAAGGTACAGTGGCTTGCTATCTAAAGCTGTGAGATACCTTCCACAGGCACCCATGTACTGAAATCCATAAACAGAAAAAACTATCACGGGCAACATGATGCTTATCATTTTTAAATTGAAAGTGATAATAAAGAAAACACAGCAAAACTAAGCTGGAGATGATAGTGATCTTTTCTATAGATCTCCACGTGTCATCACTCCCTCCTCTCCATCTTTCCCCCCCTGCTACAGCTGCAACCACTGAGATTTATGGATGCATGCAATCTAATTTGCTTTGTATTTTGTCTAGGGAAATACACAGCTGTATGGAGCTACTTTGTCAAGAAAATGTCGTGTTGCACTTAATTGCCTGATAAAGAATGACAAGTCAGAAACAATATAGATAACATGCTCAAGGATTTGCATTGGTCTTTTTTCAATATATAATTTAAATTTGCCAAGGCTTGGTTTTAAAGCAGAGACAGTCAATGCATAATTCTCAGTAATAAATGTTCACCTGAAAAACTGCCCACTGAAAGACTTTCCCCAAGCTTTCCCTTCATAATTTGATAATAATTTGAATAGACGGCTTTTTGCTAAAACATCTGCTTTGTGTTTTGACAAGTGAGAAGAAATATACATAAAAATTAATTTGAGCTGCAGTCAATTGATTAATGGGTTTAGTAAAATCACTTTATTCCCCTCCTCTTCATTCCAGAGCTGTTGTTCCACAATGTTTAAAGATCACTGAAGTCTGCAAAAGCGGGAGTTCAAGTTTGGCTCCTATGGAAGACTGTTCAATAGGACAGTCCAATAGTTTTCTGTAAAAAGTTTCAATATGAAATCAACCGTTTTTCTCTATATGTCACTGTTAATAGGACCAAAACCACATTTCAGGGTTCATTTGTGCCCATTAATATTGATTACACAATGTTAATTCTCCTGCCCAGTTCTGAGACCAGAACCGGTCAGTGTCACACCCATGACCATCCTCATACTTCAGCCCACCTCAATTTAAGCTGCCTTAAGACAAAATAAGCACAAAGCTTCAGAAGTACATTTCTGGGAACAAACAAAACATGTTAAACCCTTCACAAGAATATTTAAATCCCATGTTTGGGGGTCTTAAAATAATCTGTTACCACTTTTTCATTTCTTGGTGTCTGTATACAATCTGTGTTGTAATTTGTAGGGTATTCAATACGGCAAGCATTACCTCTCAGGTTGACAGCTGCTAGGAGAAATGCACGGTGGAAGAAACAATTTATGCATGTGATTTTTTATAGTCTTCTTCTTGAATCTGTGATTATCACTGGGAAGGGGATGTGTACATCTGTCCCACCAAATTTGCCTGGGAGCAGAGTGAATCACCTTAACTACTGGAATTATCCACGTCCATGTTCTTACCACAGCATTTTTGTAAATCCTACTATTCTCCCCGTCTCATCAACAAAGGCAGCACCTTTAATGAATTATTTCTACTTTTCTTTGATTTATTTTCATGTGACCATTTCCTAGCTACGGGGAATGTCCTATTATTCTCATTCAATAACAATTAGTAGTAATTATTACAGTTCTGACATCAGTAACCCCTCAGGGCCAATATCCAGTTTGATTTTTTTTGCAGTTCATGTGGATATCCATAAAGCCTAGGAGTTATAATTGGAGTAATCATTTCTGATTGCTAGGCAAATAATTTCTTCCCAGTGTGTTATTTTCTGCTGTTCATACACCAATTTCTGGGTGTCCATGTTTGCAAACAGTAAACAGTAAACTTGGAGGAGGACGTATTTGAGTAACTCCCCAGGCTTTTTCATCAGTTAGCAGGTAAAGCATTCTCATGGGAAGTGCCAGTAGAGTTTTGCTGGGTTTTTAGTTTTTTGGAAGTCCAGAAGTAAAGATAACTCGGAAATCACAGAATAGCCCAGGTTGGAGGGGACCTCAAGGATCATGAATCTCCAACCCTCCTGCCACAGGCAGGGCCACCAAACTCCACATTTAATACTAGACCAGGCTGCCCAGGGCCCCATCCAACCTGGCCTTGAACACCTCCAGGGATGGGGCATCCACAACCTCTCTGGGCAGCCTGTTCCAGCACCTCACCACTCTCATAGTAAAGAACTTCCCCCTGACATCCAATCTAAATCTTCCCTCCCTCAACTTAAAACCACTTCCCTGGGGACTCTGATACTTGGCGGTCCTGGTGGATAAAGATAATTCTTCCATTTTTGGGCAAGTTGGCAGACAGCAGTTGGAACAGCGAGTGAGTTAGCATCCTTGCAGTCTCCTCCAGACCAATGCTGATTCCACTTTAGTGAACACAGTTTGTACCAGGAGATCCTTTTTCTTACGCAGGCCTTTACCAGTCACCTCTAGACACATCTTACTTCCCACCTTCTGTGACATGACAAAATATCATTGCTCAGATTTTATTAGCAATGGTGCAGCTGGGAAGGCTTGAGGAGAGATGAATGCATAGGTGTTTTTTTTTTTTTTCAGCCTAAAGACAAGTTTGTCTCCTTAACAGCACCGGTACCCACCCAGCATACCCTGATGGAGAGGGGCGATTCCTGGGCTCCAGTTTATCCCACATCTCCATTCCATGTCTGTGTTGTACAAACCACACCTGAAACCCGCAAAACTATGGAAAAACTGCTGCTGAAGCCCGGGATTGAACCAGGGACCTTTAGATCTTCAGTCTAACGCTCTCCCAGCTGAGCTCCCAGCTGAGCTACTTCAGCACTCTGATGCAAATAATCACATGACCCAATCACAAATAAGTTTCAGAGCTTTACAGTTCAGTATATTGTTTGTTAAGTAAAGTGTAAAAATCAACTTTTCTGATTTTCTGGTCATCCTTCTCATCTCTTTGGCATCTGATCTCCTCTGGTGCCCTCTAGAAGATGAATATGAAATAATGGCAAGCAACAGCTCCAGCACTTCTTGCCATTTCATGACAGCACAAAGAAACCAAGACGTGCTTCAGCTGTGAAAGCGGGGGGTCAGAACTCTGACAGATTCTTCTCACCTGTCCTCACTTTCCTTCCCATCTCTTGGAATCTTGTCACTTACTCCAATAATGTTTGCTTAGAGCTTTCCTCCCCCTTCTAACACTACCTCCCTGAACTCAGGTGGAGGTGAGGAGAAATCCAGATGCGCTAACCTGAAGTCAAAGTTTAGGTAGATGCATTTTGGAATGAAGAAACATCCCATATTCCCATTATGGAGAGGACTGTACATAGCAAATTTCAGTACCAAATTAAGAGTGAATTTACAGAATCACACAAACTTCTAGCACTCCATATGAAGTGCTGCACTTTTCTCTCATTACCTGAGTATTAAAGACAAGTAGTAATGAAGAAGTTAACAAGAACAGTTGAGTACTGGCAGGTAGCTGTAGAAGTTGGTCCTGGCAGATGTATTCACTTCCTTGCTCTGACCAGATTTGCATCAGGACTTGAAGAAAGTAATCTTCATGTCTTTTATGTCATACCAGCTCCAGGCTCTGAGCAAAGAAGAGCAGTTTTCATTAACTCCTGCTATTGTGGTTTCTATCCATATATTCACTTACGTATTTCTCACTATGACCAACACCGTTCCCTTCTGGCTGAATCTGCTTTTGATAATAAGTCTAGAAGGAAAGTCAGTCTTTCTCTGAATAAAGCAATTTATGGAGACTCCATCTCTTCCCTTGATACAAGGGTTTTACAAGTTTTATAAGTCTCCTGGTTTAACCAGGTTTTAATTCCAGGGAAGATGTATCAGTCAGTAGCTCTTGTTACATTCCCCATCAGAAGAAAGAAAAAATGGAGCTGCCAAAGGAATTATCTGTCTGTAACAATTAGGTCACTTTTTTATCATGTTAGTGTGATAAAGAATCAAGCACCTGTGATCAAATACCACAGGGCATTTTCTACAGTCTTTAAAGCCTTATACCTCACTTGTTGGTTTTTTTTTAATTCTTTGCTTTATTTTTTGCCTTTTGTGTGTGTGCATGTGTTTATTTTTGATGGCTTTCTTTTCTCTCTCCTTTTTTTTTTAATTAAACTTTTAAAACCTTTTGCTAAATCTATGCACAATCCCAGCAAAGAGAATACTAATGTCAGACATCCCAGTAGAAGAATCCCTTTCACAAGGTCATCATTTCTTCACACCTCCAGGCTTCACTTAGGACTTCTTTACATGACTATGGAGCACTGGCTGATGTCCCATTCCAGCCTTTAGCCCTTTGCAAAAGGAGTCCCTTTTCCAAAGCTCTTCCTTCCATTTGCATATTTCTATCTTTTGCTTGCAATGACACACATTTTTCATTTAGTTGTACAACATACCTAAATACCAGTTTCCCTGCCTCTCCTGTAATAAGGACTTTACCTCCTCCTCAGCTTTTGCATCATTCATACATTTTACCATCAGTAAATTCATACTTCCTTCTAGCAACCTGCTGAAAGTAACATCAGGTTTGGAAGCAATCTTTTCAGAACCTACTGAGAACTTTTTGCCTTTTCCATTTGTTAATGATTATCCATCAGCCGAAACTCAAGATTTATGTGTTAGGTATGTTTTAATCTATTTTATTGCTTTTAGTACATGTTAATCACAACATGAGTGCAAAAAGTTGCCTGTTCACAAAGGTTAGAAGCGATTGCTTAGGAAAAATGCTCAGGGAAAGTAATGTGATGGTGGGTTGGAGCATTTTATTCAACTATGGGAAACATCAGTCAAAGGAAATGCCTGTGGGAGTAGAGGTACATTGAATGCATAACAGCTGACATTTTCAATATTGCAGGAATTGTTTGCAGTAGTTTTTATGCAGCTCCATTTGTTTGCCTCAGAAGACTGTTCTTTCTTGAAGCTGGAGCTTAATACTTACATAAAAAGCCTTTGCGGATACATACATCCATGAGTGTTTAGTTTGCATGATGTTATGTCATGGACCAAACTGAACTCCGGCGTGTGTTTCTAAGTTCACTCCAACAAGGCAGATTTTGGAAAGAGCTGAAGTGAAACATGAGCAGAGTAGTATGAGTCCTGCTAATGGTGCTGCTATGAAAATGTTGACTGAATCTGTTTCACAGCCTGCAGTGCTATAACCACAGAGTAAATAAAACTGGTGGGAAAAGGTAAATATTTCTAACTCCATTTCAGGATGTGGTAAGAACAACATATTACTAGAGGAGGAATGCTGGCTGAAGGAATATAAGCTTTAGAAGCAGCAAATAAAGATAAATGTACTTTTCCATTTTTACTTGTCATTAACAAATGAACAAGTGGCATTTTCAAAAGTCAATGATAGCAGACAGATGAACAAATGAAAAAGAGTCCGTGATCTAGAGCATTGTGGAAACTAAGAGAAATTTCCCTCTAATACAGAATAATGTCTGCTAATGTAACAAAACTGGCAGCTTAGTGACACATAATTGAAAACATGATTGGAGAATATCAGTGTAAGGAGTAATGCCACCCCTCTCATCTAAGTGACCTTGTAATAGTGATGGGAAATTCCTTACCATATATTTAACCCAGTCAGATTATTAAAGATTTTTGCAAGGTTAAAGTCAGAGAAATACAGGCAAGGTATTATCTCCAGGGGAAGATTTTAATTGGCAGGCAATTATAGAATCAAAGAATCTTTTGAATGGTTAGCTACAGTCTGACGGACAAGTGGAAGAGAAGAAGGTTAACAGGAGTAATCAACATGGATTCACTAAATGCAAATCATGCTTGTTCAATCTGGCAGTCTTTTATGATGTCTTGTCTAGATACATGGAGAGCAGTGGATATTGTGCATCTTAACTTCAGCAAGGTCTTTGTCACTGCTCAGTGAGAAGGAACCTGATGAGGTTAAACAAGGGCAAGTGTAGAGTCTTGCAGCTGGAGAGGAATAACTGCAAGCATTGGTATAGGTTAGGAGCTGACCTGCTGGAAAGAAGTTCTGCAGAGGAGGACCTGGGTGTCCTCGTGGACAACAGATTGGCTATGAGTCAGAAATATGCACTTGTGGCCAAGAAAGCCAAGGATATCCTGGGGTGCATTAAAAAGAGCAAGAGCAGAAGGTTGAGGGAGGTGATCCTTCCTCTCTACTCTGTTCTGAGGATACCACAGTGGAGACTGTGTCTGTTCTGTGCTCCTTCATGAAAAAAATTGCAGGGAACTACTGGATGGAGCTCAGTAGAGGGCCACAAAGATGATGAGGAGCCTGGAGCACCTCCATTGTGAGGAAAGACTTAGAGACCTTGGGCTGTTCAGCCTGAAGAAGACTGAGAGGGGATCTGATTAATGCTTGTAAAAATCCAAGGAGTAGTAGTCAGGTGGATGGGGTCAGGCTCTGGTTAATGATGCCTGGCATCAGGGTTAGGGACAACATGCAAAAACTGGAACACGGGAAGTTCAATACGAAGATGACTTTTTTTTACTTTGTGAGTTACAAAGCCCTGGGACAGAAGCTGCCTGGAGAAGTTGTGGAGTCTCCTTCTCTGGAAATATTCATAGAATCATAGAATCACTAACGTTGGAAAAAAACTCCAAGATCATCTCATCCACCTGCCATCAATATTTCCCCACTAATCCATGTCCCTTAGTACAACATCTAATGTTTCAAAGTCTGCCTGGATTCTGTGCAATCTACTCTAGGGAACCTGCTTTACCAACACCAAGAACTTAGTGTTGCATTTGCAAAATTAAATTGTGAATTTAACTGCCTTTCTGAGCATTGTTAAGTGTGAGACCTCTCTCTTATTATTTAGTGTGGATTAACACAAGTCATTCTAGATAGTGGCTTGTGTAAATCTTTCCATCATGTATCCATTTGTTGTGGATTATTTGGACCAATGAAAAAGAACCTTTGTGTCACATAGTCTCACACTTTTTTTGCCAGACCATTTTTGTCTGTCCTCTTGCATGAGTAGGTCTAACGTGAAGATGTCATTTCTCTTTGTGATATCGATAGCCCAGATGGTGGCTATTCTCCATTCCTTTGAAAACTGCTTAGTTTTTCTCTGTTTTAACAAACATTTTGGGCTGTGGACCTTGGATGGACAAATGCACCTTTCTGAAATCCTTGATGCATCTACAGATTCTCAATTCATTCTCTAGGAATCTGCTGTTTATTATTAGAGGCAAATGAATCACAGAATCGTAGAATTGTTTCAGTTGGAAGGGATCTTTAAAGGTCATCTAGTCCAACTCCCCTGCAAAGGACAAGGTCACTTACATATAGCTAGATCAGGGTGCTCAGAGCCCTGTCCAGTCTGATCTTGAATGTCTCGAGGGAACTGGACATGAAGTAAAAACAAGGTCTTTTCATTATCAACAATAGCTCTCCAGCGAATGAAGAAGTTCTGAGCTCCTCACCAGATTCGATTTAACCAGAGCTAGAACTTCTAAATGGCGCTGGATATTGAGTGAAGGAAGGGAAGAAAAAAAGCGAAACAAAACCAAAAACACCTGCTCTTGGGAATTATTTTGGAGTGTGAAGATAAATAAAGGCCAGTAATTAGTTAGGGTTGTGGGGGGTTTTTTTTGGCAGTACATTTCATTTTTCAGATGTGAAATCTCCGTTCTGAATCCTCTTCTCCCACTCCATTCTCCAACACAACCAGCCACAGGCTACCTGATGTCAGCTCTTATTTAGTCCAAAGAAGCCTTTCTCTAGATGCTGCTAGTACTGGGACCAGTCCTAGGACTGGTAGGATGTAGGCAGATGTAGGCAGGACTGACTTTACTTTCTGACCTTTCAGCTGGG